TTATGCATAAACCCAATAGTTGTGAGCTTTTTCAACCATGTTGCTGCAGAGGCAAAAAGGAAGAACCCGTGGAATCGATCCCACGACCTCTCGCTTGAGAGTCAGGACCACTACCGCTGCTCCGTTCTGCTTCATAAGGTTGTTTAGAGAATCGATTGGCAGATATGGATAACAGATTCGAGATCAGCGAACAAAGACACATTCAAAGGTATATGCCTCATTGCTTATGACTGCTTCGACCCATCATCCTCTACTGTTTACTCAATTTTTTCAACATTTTGTGCATGTATTGACTAGCTAAACTAAATAGAATACTCGATTTATTTTGGTGGTATTACTATGCAAGTAGAGACTGTAAGAATATTTCGTAGAATTTCCAAAGATTTCGATGAATTGTTTAAAAAAAATGGAGTTTTATGGTAAATTTATCTGGGGGAAGTTATGGAATCGTCTAACATGGACTGTAGCCTCCGGTGAGTGAGGTTGAATGTGTGTTCGCATAGGTCTCATTTCGTTCTCTAATGCTAGAATCGGCTGCATGGCGGTAGCAACTGTCCTGATCAAGTGATAGCACATCAGGGCAGCCATCTGTCGGGCACCGTCGCATACGTGGCGTTTTCTCTGCTCATTCCACCGCGAGAGAAGGCACCTGACAGACCCCGGTTTTGATACGTTGTACGCTGACATGGCATCATGACAGCGGCCAGTATTGCTTCGGTTTTAACCCAGTATCTCAAGGTACTACGGGCTTCTGACCTTCCACTTGTGGTTGCGTCAAAACCTCAATTTTTGGATCGCTCACTCGGGGAATCCGGGAGGGCAAGCAAGACGCGGAAGTCGAGGAATGATCGCACTCCACTTGAGTCTGGGAGAATCAACGTGAGGTGGATTGCATTGTTGTGGAACATGTCGAGTCAAATTCAGAAATGAAAGAGGACGGCATGATTCAGGAGAGGAGCGGGAGCTGGGGGAGGGGGAAGGAGGGGACCGTGAAAAATGCATGGTGCGAAAGATGTCTATTGCCGGTTTGTGAACGAGTCAGGGGTGTCATCATTGATTAGTAAAATTACCTGAAAATCAGTCGTAAACTTGGCTATCTACAAGTCGAACATTTTGCCCTTACCATGCCTTTTGTAGTATTCCATTTTCAGCCTATGTGTATATGCTTACAAGCTTCACAACGAACAAGTTTTAGATAGTCCTCTATAGGCTGGAAGGCCTTTCCGGTGAATGGGTAATGCATGCTCATGAAAGATACTAGGAATTCGCATCGCAGTGGTCCGCGAACGAATGTTCTGACTATGTGAGAGCACATCAGGGGCCGGGTGCAGCAAGCCCCGACGAGGGGAGGGGTACCCATCCCCTTCGCTGGGGCTTGCTGACCCGCCCCAGAGCAGTCATCTGTTGGGTGCCGTCGCACACGTGGCGTTTTCTCTGCTCGCTCCACCGCGAGAGAAGGCGCCTGACAAACCCGATTTTGATACGTAGTAAGCTGACATGGCATCGCGACAGCGGGCGGTAATGCACTTCGGTTTTAACCCAGTATCTCAAGGTACTACGGGCTTCTGACCTTCCACTTGTGGTTGCGTCAAAACCTCAATTTTTGGATCGCTCACTCGGGGAAAGCCGGGAGGATATGGTTACATTCAAAGCTCGTGGAGGGTGGGTCAACGATGACTATGTTCATTGTTGTGAAAACCCTTGGAGGAGGTTAAGGAGATTGACGATGGTGCGATGCTGGGATTCGAAACTTCTCATTTGCTGAGGGAAGGCATCCTCTCACATATGATGATTAATAGCGTAGCCTTAGAAGCAGGAGAACTAGTTTGAGCTCTCCTTGCAGGTTCAGCATTTTTCTCATACCCTGCCTTTTGATAACATTTCATTTAACATCTATGCGTATATGCTTACAAGCTTCACAGCGAAACAGACGAGCATGAACATACGTAGTTTTTGATTGAATTCATACAGCGTCAGGCATTGTAGAAAAGAAGTTTTTTGAACACAATTAAATCCTTGCTTTTTTTCAAATCGTGTCGTCACTGTCCTCGCTCTCTCATTTAGGCGCTATAGCAACATACACGGAGCATTATGGTGGCAGACATTTCCGATTCCGCGTAAAAATCTCCTTCATGTTGAAAAAGGACTAAGCTAAGGCGGGAACAGCGCGACTACAGGGCGCGCAGAGAATTTGTTACGGTTTTTTTTCTCGAAGTTGACTCCTGCCAATGGGGCTTAGACCGGAGGGCGTCTCGTATTTTTGCGACTCTCGCTTCTTGGATATGTGATCCGCGAAATCGCTTTATCCCTCACTCCACTTACTAGAAGGCGGAAGTGAGTTAACAGAACAACAAAATATTAAGAAGCCTGTCCATGAAAAAATTATCGGGTCAGTTCCTATCACATCACCGTTTCAAAAGCGGACTCATTGTTACACCCTTCGAACACACCTCCTCTACAATAGCTTAAGTGGCTGAACCTTTGGCGGTCGGGTCGCGTCGAACTCTTGATTGCCCTCCCGGATTCCCCGAGAGGGCTATCCAAAAAATTAGGTTTTGACGCAAGCCACAACTGGCAGGTCAGAAGCCCGTAGTACCTTGAGATACTGGGTTAAAACCGAAGCATAGCGGCCGCTGTCTCGATGCCACGTCAGCACGCTACGTACATCCAACAAGTTCGTTTGCCAGGTGTTTTCTCTCGCGGTGGAGCGAGCAGAGAAAAAGCCACGTAGGCGACGGCGCCCGACAGATGGCTGCCTGATGCGCTCTCACGTGGTCAGAACATTTGTTCCCATAACATTACAGTATGAATTCTGGTATTTTTCTCGAGAACACGCAATACCCACTCACCGAGAAGGCCTTCCTGCTCGTAGAGGACTAATCCAAAACTTTTAGTTTGTGGTGAAATTATAAGCATATAGGCATAGATGGAAAATGGAATACTTACCACCAGAAGGCGAGATAAGAGCAAAATGTTCGACCTGCGTGGAGCCAAACCAGTACTCCCCGCTTAATAACACGTTGAAGACCGCAAATGTTTACCGTATTGCGGCCCTTGGGATTTTTTTGGATTTCTTAAGAATCTAATCATGTATTAAATTGGGAACAGAACCTTTTGGATATTTAGAGGAAATCTCAATAAATGTAATAAAAGAAAAACCAAAGAAAAACCTAACACTCGGTTCCAAAATTAGTGTTGTAAGGTCCCACACGGTTGACAAATTGCAGCCCACATGTGGACTGCGTGGGTTCCAAGGTGTTAATCATCATTCGTGACACCATGCCTTCCATCAGCAAACGCCGTGGCAAAGATTTTTCGAATGCACTTTTCCCCTTCCTCACCTCTCCACTCACATTTCCCACTACCTCGCCTGAATCGCCAGTTTCGTCAACCTCTCTCTAACCTGTTTCACTCCACTCGGCAGAGTTTCCACAACAACAAACTTAGTCAACGTTGAGTCTCCCTCTAAAAGTTCGCATGTAAGTACGACTACCCCATTTCTTCCAACGTCTTGCTGCCCTCCCGGATTCCCCGAGTGAGCGATCCAAAAATTGAGGTTTTGACGCAACCACAAGTGGAAGGTCAGAAGCCCGTAGTACCTTGAGATACTGGGTTAAAACCGAAGCGACTGAGCTGCGCTGTCACGCCATGTCAGCGCGAATCGTAAAATCAACGGGTGCGCCAGGCGCTTCCTCTCGCATCGGAGTCGGCAGAGAAAGCGCCTCGTAGACGAGGGTGCACGATGAGTGGCCGCCCCGATGCGCCGTCACATGGTCGGCACATTTGCTCGCAAACGTCGCATTGTGTGGCTAGTCTCACCGTTGACAATACGCATTGCCTATCCGTCAGGAGGCACTCTAACTCATGGGGAAACCCTCCCAAAGTCGTTCCTGCAGCCCAGTTCTTTGCGAAACTATAAAATCTATGTGAACCCAAAACCTCAGAAAAACACCAAGATCTGAAAATTTAGAAAAAAATTGGGAACAATTCCTACACTCTTTTGGCGTTCTGTGCATCAAAGAAAGCATATGTTGCTTTTTATAGAGGCAATACATACGTGAATTAGGAGTGGTTAGTACTTCGGAACTTACAAGGTCTTCTCGCTATTTACTAGCAGGAAGCGGGAAGGTATATTATTTATTTATTTATTTATTTATTTATTTATTATATTTATTTATATTATTTATTTATTATTGTCTTGTAGGGCGGAAGTGGTGTAGTGGCAAGTGGCACGCTTACCACGCGAGCGGTCCGGGGATCAAATCCTGGGTCGTGAGTCGCCCGGGCCAACCAAGCCTTCCATCCCTCCGGGGTCGGTTAATTGGTACCAGACTTGTCTGGGAGGATAAAAACACTGACTTGTACATCGGCTGGCCCCCGCAAGTCATTGTATAGGCCACATCGCATTCAAACGCCACTGCGAATGTACAAATGGAAGTAGAATGCGTGCCGCATCCCAAAAGGGATTGATCAACGGCAAATGCTTTATCCTTTATCCTTATTTTACTGTGCACTTCGGTCGGTGCAGTGCGATAATTCGTCAGAAACCAGGCCAGTTTAAATTAGTATATAGTATTCGAGTAGCTCAGGCCACATTATGGCTATAACATCCACGTGTGGAAAACCCAGCCACCCGTTTACCGAAGTCCCTTCCTACAAATTGTTTACGAAATTATTTCGAAAGCAGAAAGTCCTGATACGAAATTCAAAGTAGGATTCTTCGTAGACCATTAGCAAATGCAGGAATTGCCAGTTGAACACAGGCTTTTGCTGAATCAAAAACTCATAAATGAGGAAACTGTACATATTTCAACAAGAAACTCATAAATAAGGGAGCTATCTCACACAAATCCTTGGTCACGCCACGAACTACAGAAGATCGCCTGTTGAATGCAGCCCCCTGGGCCCTTAGAAACCCACGGCTGAGGCGACAATTTCAACGAACTCCTCCCTCAACTTCTTCAACAACAACGCACCAAGCTGTGTAACACCGCGTTCTTTTTGCCCTCCCGGATTCCCCGAGTGAGCGATCCAAAAATTGAGGTTTTGACGCAACCACAAGTGGAAGGTCAGAAGCCCGTAGTACCTTGAGATACTGGGTTAAAACCGAAGCAACTGAGCTGTCCTGTCACGCCATGTCAGCGCGCATCGTAATATCAACGGGTGCGCCAGGCGCTTTCTCTCGCATCGGAGTCGGCAGAGAAAAGTACACGTATACGACGGCGTCCCAGAGAATGCTGGCGCTGGCCATCGATTTTGCTGCACTGGCGCTTTGCCAAACCTCATTTCTGGCCAGTTTTCGCTCAGAAATTATTGCTAAACTGTACTTTTTCATCATTTTTGTTGTGCGGTTAGGGAAGACTTCAAAATGGTAGTGGAGCCGTTGGTTATTCATAATAATTCACGTCATGAAGATCGTGGCACTCCTTGCGGCAAAAAAAGGAAATATTAATTTTTGATATTGATAAATGAAATATCATTCAGACGCGACAGGATCACACTTTAGGAGGGAATGTTCGGAATGAACCTCTATTTCGAAAACAGTGAAACTTACCAACAGTCCCGAGTATTTAGAGATGAGTGAAAATAAAATAATAAATCATGGATGTTGTTATAAAAATAGCTTGTTACTAGGAAACTGAGCGCATGATAAACAAAATGTAACGTTTTTGTTTTGATTTTTTAACTGCTGTTCTTGATCGTACACCTCGGTGCAAGTTTCCTCAAAAGATGCCTGCTTATAGACCAAACGTTTTGCCTTAGCGGGGGTTCGAACTCCGGTTTCATGCCTATCAGGCGATACCGCCACCGATTACATCATCAACGTCAAGTCTAACCTGAACTTCACCCAATCTAGCAGAAATAAAAAAAAAAGGATAAAGCATTTGCCGTTGATCAATCCCTTTTTGGGATGCGGCACGCATTCTACTTCCATTTGTATTCGTAGTGGCGTTTGAATGCGATGTGGCCTATACAATGACTTGCGGGGGCCAGCCGATGTACAAGTCAGTGTTTTTATCCTCCCAGACAAGTCTGGTACCAAACCGACCCCGGAGGGATGGAAGGCTTGGTTGGCCCGGGCGACTCACGACCCAGGATTTGATCCCCGGACCGCTCGCGTGGTAAGCGCCACTTGCCACTACACCACTTCCGCCCTAGCAAAAATAAAGTACTATAAATACGAGTGTAATAACACTATTACAACGTATTTTAATACTATGAGTGAATAAATGTACAGGGAAAGGCAGAACAGTCTCCTTCCATCTCAAAACGGAATTGACTAAATTTTGCTCATCGCCTAAAATCAAAAAAAAATAGTAATACGATGACCTGTTATCAAAAGCTACGCATCATCCTTCTAACGAAGGGTCAATTTTTGGTAAAATTTTCCACAGGAATATGGGTTGCACGCTGTGAAGCCACGAAGGGCCCGAAGCTATTCTATGTGTTGATAATCAGGACAATGTATCTAAAAAGCGTATGGGAAGGGATTCAGAAGGCGGTTGTGCTATCCTTAGAAAGCTATCCACCACTAGAAATATTGATGAAATTCCGCAGCAGCTTCGGGATGGAACGATTACGGTAGGCCTCCATGAGCCCGACGGCAATGGCCATCTATACTTGTAATTTTATTTGTATGCATTCGCGAAAAATGCTTCTGGTTAAAGAAGGAATTTGGGACGGAAATTTCATTTTCCAACTGTAAGCATATCAAAATGTCGTTCAACCTGGTTATTGTATCCAATCATCGAATCAGAAGGATAGCTGTCCGAAGGCATAAAGTTGACCCTAGGTTATGACCTGATTATTATGGAATCGATTATTTTTTATGGTTAGGTCGGCAAAGGCCTTCACTCCTCCGGGGGTTTACACTTTATGCGACCGAGAGTTTGTGTGGCAGTGGATGGTCTTCTATAGAGGTTTTCCACAGGACTTATTCGTCTTTTGGTATCATTTTCCCTTACTCTTGATATGTTCAGACAAATTCTACGTTCATAGCCATCACAGATGCGCCACGGATGAGAATTTGACGTTACGTTGTGACGAAGAATTTGGGAGGGGTAAGATGCATGCCAGTAGTGCCTTTTTTTTCTTCAATGCGCTGCTCTACCGAATGAAAGCATCTACAACTGAATAGTTACCGCTTTCAGCAGTCGGTGTGCCACCGCTTCGTATCCAGTGAACACCATCACCATTCCGCATGCCACACAGGTCCTTTTCGAAGTCGCATTCCCAGTCGTATCGCGAAACTTCTTTGGAGGGATCTGAAAAGGAGAGACTACCGTAACCAAAATACAAAACACTTCTTGACGCATAAGTAAGACGATGTGAGACCCAGCTCTATCAAGAGCATATATTATTGTTATTGGGAACACTCCATTTCCTTATTGTTGGGAATTCCGCCTTTGAAAAGAGCAGGGGGATTAGCATATGAAAGGAGGCGCAAGCTCATGCTACTATATCGTCTCATCAGCGTGCAAGCCTCTGAAGACATCTGAGGAGGAGGTGGAGGCCTCTCACAAGGAGATCCTGAAGCCTGACAGTACCTGGTGGGGTGAGGACAATATCGCGAATGCTCCATGGACTTTCACGTCCATCATCACCGACCACTTTCACAGCGATCTCGTACTCTTTTCCTGGCAGTAGACCGGTCAGCTTAACGCTTCGTGAATTTGAACGCATCTTGGACAACTGTTCCGATTGGTAGATACCGTACCTACAAGTTACAGTAAAAATATAATCCTTAACAATCAATGATTCGATTCAGAAGTAATTGTTACTGTATGAGGTAGTGTCTTTGAGTGCCATCGATCTCATTTTCCATATCCTGTTCCGGATTGGGATCCTCCCAGGACACTGTAACAATGCCAGGGCTCGGCGATTGTGCCCTGACGGCAATCGGTGGCCATAGGGAAAAGGCTGGTGTACCTGAATGAAGATTGACGATGAAAAGATAGTCATGATTTGAAAAACTCCTGGAAAATGGGTAGAGCAGTGAGAATAAAAACTGGAAATATGAAAAAATCTAAATCTACTGATAAAATAAGAATAAAAAAATAGTGCTATCTAGTAAACATGTTCCAGAAACTGATTATTTTCTAAACTGTCAAACTTAAAAGCTCTTGCTGGTTTTGTGTTAATGGAAAATAACTAAGAAAATAACTAATTACCGTCACTCGGTAGTGTTCGAGCCGACAGAAGTACTGGTTCACCGTCCTCACCATCGGCTTCATTGTAGGCGCCCACGGCGAATACATAATCCGTGTCTGGCTCTGAAGTAGAGCTAGTTTGAAAGGTCGTACCGAGCGCATGGCGCACTCCAAATGGTATTGAAATCCTATTCATGGAGCTTCAAAGAGAGATGGCACGATAAATTGGTCGCCTGATGTAAATAAAAGTAATAGAGGTGCAATCGTGAAGAAAAGTCCATGGGATATGGCGCAAAAAAATCAGACCCCGTTTTGCCCGTATATCTCCGGGTTGGATATTTACTACTGCTGCCGTCAGCAGAATGAACGCTCTGCTCGGACTACATACGTGGTATAAGGTTTGGAGTCCTGCGGCACAGAAACGGGCAGCTGGGCGCTCATTCAGGGTAGG